CCATAATACTATAAGATAAGAAGATATGGCTTTTCAGAATGAAGTAGAGTGTAAATCAGACCATGAATCTGTAAGTGTAAATCAGACCAGCTGCATCGCAACCCTTCCAGATCCGATACGTAGGTACATCCCGAAGTGGGTTTCAGCGCCTTATCCCGCCATTGATAGGGCGTCCTTGTCCCTGATGTATGTAACTGCCGGCTCATTGGGTAAGTCTCCTACCCAATCTACTGGGTAGGTTTCTCATTCATCCCTGTGGGATTTATCGCGGCCACTTCCTCTAAAAGCATCTGCCACCATCATTTACTAATGTGGTTATTAAAGAAAAGAAAACTATAAAATGACTGACACAAAACCAACCAAGAAAATCTCCGCTTTTGCCAAGTTTTCACCTATACATGATCGTTTACCAAGACCAAAAGGAATCACTTGCTGTTCCAATGTCTTGCCGCCTTGTCTATACCGTTCAGGATAGAACTGAAAACCGCAATAATTATTCGGCACAATGGGAATAACTGAGTTTGTCATCATTGAATTTTTTCCTCTTTTCTCTTCTTCTTTTTGGAAAATGTGGGAGTAAAATTTTTCGCGTCAAAGAGAAGGGCTGTGAAGAGTTCTTTCATAATTTTTGCCCAATATTTCGAGGCACATTTCGCGACCAAACAGGTAGGAGTTACTGCGCTCAAAAATGAACGTAGTGGAGGTAACTCCCACGACTACCGAGTGAAAGAATCATAGAAAATGCTAACAAGGAGGTCGTTCAGGGTGTGCCAAGCTTTTTCAAAATGGTTTCTTGCATGACATGGGGCACATTTTTCCTGAACGGCCCTCTGAATACCAGAAAAGGGGTCCCTAGTTCGATTCCTCGTGGTGACAAATTTTTGCATTTCGAGTTGACGTTTCAAAATTCGCGCAAAATGGAGTTAGCATGAACAATGAACCAATGTCACAACTTTTTCACCAGTTTTTAATCAAAGTCTATTTGTAAGGGTTACTGACGGTCCTAATCATGAATATGGTACTAATTATTCATGCTAACTCCATTTTGCGCGAATTTTGAAACGTCAACTCGAAATGCAAAAATTTGTCACCACGAGGAATCGAACTAGGGACCCCTTTTCTGGTATTCAGAGGGCCGTTCAGGAAAAATGAACCATGATGTGCCCCTATATCATGCAAGAAACCATTTTGAAAAAGCTTGGCACACCCTGAATGACCTCCCTTGTAAGAATCCCTAGAAGAACGTAACGCGCTGATTTTACGGGCAGAGTGTCCGCTCCTCCGCTACAGGAGCTCATTGGTTAGCCCATGTTCGTGGTGGTTATTGTCATTATTTGAAATGGCATTGGAAAAAATAAATTTGAATATTTTATTACACAAGCTCTCGAAGAATGGGAACTATGCAACCTCAAAGCTTAGAGTACTCCTGAATTCAGAGCCAAATTACCTTGTTAGCCTCTTCGAAGATTTGTTCGTCCTTCATTATCATCGACAATTCTGCAGCAATTGGAGTGCCTTTAGGAACGGGATGCCCACCGACAACGCCATTTTCCTTGGTTTTGCGGAACAGATTCAAATTTAGTATGGACGCTAGCCGATGTATTTCCTAAAAAATTAACAACACTACACAATCAGATACCGTTACTGAATAGAACATCAAGAAGTATGAGAGCTTTTTTATAGTCGTAATATTAGTGAAAGAAACGCGATGCCATTGACACTGCACACTGTCGCGCGCACAACACAGTTGTTTGGGATTACCGAAGAAACGCGGCAACAGAATATCTTGAATTTGCTCCGTTCGCCTTGACGAATACCCCGAATACGGTTACCATTCGACCATGCCCCCTCCCCACCCACCTCAATCGCAAGTCTCTACCCATTTGTTGCGGTTCTATGCGCATTCTAGACGCGACCCGTCAAAACTTCTGGTAGACCCAGCCCATCTTGTTGCGCGCCCTGCCTACCATTAACGTTTTTACTTCCTACTTTATTTGTTACCCTCAGGTCACTTTTCCTGAGTTATGAGGATGTAAATAAAGCAACCATTAACCAGGGGCACACACGTCCTTTATTATTGACGGTTTCTCGCTTGTTCAGAATGTGACTTAAACAGACCCAAGCATGTACTTCTCACCTCAGTTTTTGCAACTTCGATAATTTTTATGAAAGCCAGCTTATTTAGTATTCACGCGCGACACCAGGGACGCTGCTCCCAACACGCGTATCCTCATTTTCGAGCTCTACAGCCATTCTACAACTTCGTAGCTCTCTTTTCCGATCTCTGGGCTATTCTTCATTAGGATCGGAATTCATTTCTGCGACACCGCTTATTTTGGGGCAAGCTTGAACGTGACCTCGCCTTTTTAGGTTGTTCTCCAGCTAATATCGAATTTCGTGACAGATAAACTAAGCCGATCACACATGCAGTACGGTAAGATATTGTACAGGTGTTTTTTCACATTTACTGAAACGACTTCAAGGTATTTACCAGTATAGTCCAGTTCAGGTATTGAGTGTGATCTCTGTCAGATAATGAAATCGATCTATTGCCACCAGTGACTGTATTCAGCTCTGTTCGTATTTTACGCAAGACCTGAAAATTTTCAGAGAGAAAAGGATTGCAGTGGTCTGAGATTGTATATGTTTCTATACAGCTAACCCAAATTTACACGTGCACAAATGTAATTCAGGGAGAAGTAAGCAAAGCAGCCCGTTTGGCGTTT